CCCCCCACCTTCAAATACCCCAAGCACACGGCCTCCAAAGACCAACAAGTGGGGATTGGCCCTGGTAGTGAGACTCTCAGGGTCATCCCACGCCACCCACAGCAGCTGCTTTTGTATACACCTCCATCCGCCTAGTTTTGGAGGTAGCCCCCAGCCCTTAGGCCACCCTGCTCAGCCTTCCCCTCTCCCTCCTCAGGGCCTGGGCCCAGCCTTTCATTCTTAGGAATCTGATCATGGGAAGAAGGGAACTCTAGGGCCAGCCTGCACAGACCCAGCTGCGGAGCCCAGAGCCCCCTGGTGGCAGGGGTTGGCAGCGCTTCTGCGCGGGAGTCAAGGCTGAACTTTCTGGACACGCTTCCCTTCCCACCCCCTGGCTCCCTCCCTCCTAACTCCCTAGGCAGAGTTAGCTGTTTACTGACATGGTGCTGTGTGCATGGTGCTGTGTGCAAGTGAGAGAGAAGGCTGGTGGGGCTGCAGGGCAGGGTCTAGGGAGGTGATAGGAGAGGGGGCGTGGCTTTGCTTTGGGGTCAGAGGAATAGGAGTGTGCCCCTGTATGTGTAGTGCCCCAGAAGAGCTGGGCAGTTGGCCCTGGGGACAGGCAGCTGGGCAGGTAGGGGCGCTCAGAAGGAGTTTGACTCTGGAGGGATGGAGGGGATCCCCCGGGTCCCAACTCCCCCGCCCTGTGTGGCAAGCCAACCACTGGGCTGGTCTAGGGGGGCTGATCCTGCAGAGAGGATTGGAGACAGTGAGATGGGGGTCAGGGTGTTCTTGCCCCCACCCTGCCCTTGGATGTGTGGAACCCCAGTGCAGTGGGAGCCTTCCTAAGTGACACTGGCCCTGGCGCAGTTTCTGCATCCTGTCCACCAGAGCCCTGGGGACTGACACCTCTGGGACTGACCCTCAGCAGCAGTGGGGGGACTGCTGTTCAGTGCCTGCTGTTTGTGACTTCAAAACAGAAGAAAAACACTGACAAAAAGCATTAAAAACAAAACCAAAATAAGACTGTATTGGTAAACACGTAAATTTTTGTAAGAAAATTTAAAAATTAAAAAAAGCAACAAAGGAACTTCTTTCATGGCTCAGACCTTTTGCCACAAACTGCTTGCTCCCTTTTTGCCAGGTTGGGATTGAGGTAGGTGGACCCAGGTGTCCAGCGGAATCTCGGCTCTCAGGCCCCATGGTCATTTCCCACACATGTTCTCCCAGACTCACTTTGATCCCTTCTACATACAAAGAAGAGTGGACTTGCTCCTGGGTGGTTAGCTGGGCCCTGAGCCCCGGAGTGGTGTCCTGGCCAGATGCTTCTCTGGGCAGAGGTGGGCTCATCTAGGACAGGGTAATCATTTTGAGGTGACCAGAGGTCTAAGCACTCTGGGCAGAGGTGGGCTCATCCTGGACAGGGTGATTCCTGGGGAGCCTCGGAGGTGACCAGAGGTCCAAACACTCTGCGGGTTGGGGATGGAGGAACAGGGTCAGACTAAAGGCAGCTATGGATTTAGTGGATGCAAACCAACTCTCATCACTCCCCAGCTGTGCACTCTGGCCTGCGCCCACTGACTCCTCCATAAACAAGGCTGAGTGGGATTGGAGAGGTGCTTCCACAGGGGCCGGGGGCTGGAGGGACCATGCCTGGCACTGCTGCAGGGCCGAGTCCCCCATTCCCCAACACCTGCTTGGTCAGAGATGGGTGGGAAGGGTGGCCAGCTGCCCTGTTCTGGTTTCCCAGGTCAGACAGCCTCAGTGGGGCTGTGACAGGAGTCCTTGGCCTGGCCACTGGAGGAGCAGCGTTGGGGCTGGGAGCTCTCAGGGCATACGGGCAACTTTAGCATCCAGTCAAGGGGAGTGCTGGGTGTTTGGCTTCAAAGTGGAGGGCACCAGGGGAAAGAAGGAGCAGCGCAGTGGTTGAAAAAACACACAAAGCTGACCTATTATATTTAAATATTTAGGTCTTTATTTTAGTATTTTTTAGTCATAATATTGATATAGAAGGTTAATAACAGTCAGCCAATCTTAGTCAAGTTGCATTTCATTTTTAAAAAGGAGATTAAAGAAATCAGAGGAGTCAGAGGTGTGAAGTAGTGTTGGTCACAGTGCCATCACAGAGGCATTGCTGCCACCTGGTGACAGCAAAGCTTGAGGACAGGCTGTGAGTGCATAGCCCAAGTTTCCAGATGTTCCCAACTTCCCCCATTTACTGTGCCCAAGGACCTGTCTATGTAAGAAACCCTACTGGATTGCTGGTGGGGGTGAGTGACAGCCATGGGCACCGTTTACCCTGATTTGATATTTACAGATACTTTCCAGATTTATTGCAGTGGTTTTGCATGGTGAGCAGGTTGCTCTTGGGGTAGACCAGTGTGTGATAGCCGGGAGCTGTGAGCAGAGGTGCCAGTGTGGGTTGGCCTTGGCATCCCAGGCCTCAAGTGTGCTGCATTGAGGACAGGCCCCAGAACAGCAGAAGCGGAGTTGGCAGCAGCATAACCCGTCTTGGCGAGAGATCCAGAGCAGGGTAGGCGGTCAAGGCTGTGCTGGGCTGCCCGGACCCAGGTAGACGGCCTTCTCCACGCCATCCACCATCTCTGAGTACTCCACGAAGGAGGAGAAGTGCGTGCACTCAAAGCGGCTGCTCCCACGCACGTGCGCCAGAAACTTTGGTGCTCCAGGGAAGATGACGTTGTCAGCCAGCAACACTGTCCCCTTTCGTAACAGGCCACACTCCTGCAGGGGACAAGACAGTTGGAGGGGGTGAGTCAAGGGTGCTCATCAAGCCTGCTCCAAACCAGCAAGACAGGTGCACCATATACTGGCCTGACCCTGGTGTTGGCCCCATACCTCCTGGGGTCACAAGGGTCTTTGCAGCCCCCCATCTCCTCCCTGGCAGGGCGCATTGCAGGAGAGGGCTGTGCTGAGTGCAGGTCCCACCTCTAAACATCAGCTCTGTGAGGGAGGATCTTTCCCTTCGCCATTCACTCCTGCATCCTTGGCCCTAGAACTGTGCACGGTACCAATAGGGCATCACTAAATGCTAGCTAGACGAGTGGGGGTGGTGATGGGGCCAGTGGGTCCCTCATCACCGGTGCCAAGAAAATACGGCTTCTCCAGGTGGGAGGAATGCCTGGTGCCCCGTGTGTGGCTCCTGGGGGTGGTCACTGGAGATGTAATCTGGCCTGACCAGGATGACCCTGCAGTGCTAGGGGGAGGAGGCAGTGGAGGGGCAGATCTCCCAACCCACAAGCCTGCCCCTCAGGGATTCGCTTTGGACATCTCCAATCCCCAGCATCCTACATGCCCCATTCCATCAGTGACTGGGCCCTGGGCAGCCAGCTGGCATTCCCGGGCCTGGGCTCTGCAGAAGGAAGGAAAGGCAACTGGACACAGCCTGGGTCCTCCAGCACTCACAGTCTCTCTAAGCTGAGGGAGGAGCTGCTTAGATTACATGAAACAATAGCATGAGAATCCTTAAGAGGAAATGTTTATTTTGGGGGAGAGGTAGACTAGGGTAAGGGTCACCCCCAGATTGCCTTGTCTTCTGGATTTGACTTTGGAAGCACAGAACTTTTTTCCCCATAATCATAACAGTTAAAAAAAACCAAAAACAATCCCAAACATGAAAAACAAAGTCAAACAAGTGACCCCAGGTGTGTCTGAAATTGCCAGCAGGACCATGTGTGGGGCATCTCCAAGTGACTGAAAATCAGACTGTAACTCTGCACCCCTCCAGGGTTGTGCCCTAGGACAGAGTCTTACTGGGGTCTCAGCGCTCCTGGTGGTAGCTGAGGTTGCTTCTGGCTTGTGAGCTGTGGGGGAAACTGAGGGCCCTCCAGCCAGAGCTTCAGAAAACACACAGGTGTGAGGTCAGCAAGGCTGGGGCAACCCAGGAGACAGAATTGGAACAAAGTATTATCAATCATGGAGTGTTTTCTCTTAGAAAAAGAAAACTATCTGGCAATACTGCCTTAAAAGACAAAACAGAGCAGCCTGGGACGAGGTGTCCCTGGCCCAGGCCCCAGAAGGGCAGCTCAGGTCTGGGGCAGGAAGTGTACAAGGTGAGCTGGGATCGGAGGCTCCAGCCTCGAGGGGTCATGCGGAAGGACTTGGGGCACCACTGGCCACAGATGGGACTATCAGTGGATTGAAAGACACCAGACACTAAAAACCATCCAGTTAACCAGGAGAGAAGGAATGAAAGGAAGGAAACTTCGGCCACCTTTGGAGGTTGCTAGGACCCAGCCATCCCTGAGGAAGCTGGTCACGGGGAAGAAGGTAGCACCTGCACTGCCTTTCCCCAGACACCATGTTGCCTCCTGATAGGACACAGACCCCCTGGAGACTTCTGGCCAGAAGCTCAGAGTCTGAGCAAGCCTGTTGTGCTAACTGCTACAGGGAGGGAATGGTGTTCTGAGCACCAGGATGCCAAGTGTGAGGTGATTTTAAAAGATGTCCACAGCCTGGCTGGTGTGGCTCAGTGGTTGAGCATGACCCATGAACCAGGCGGTCACGGTTCAATTCCCAGTCAGGGCACACGCCTGGGTTGTGGGCTCCATCCCCAGTTGGGGGCGTGCAGGAGGCAGCCGATCAATGACTCTAATCATTGACGTTTCTGTTCCTCTCTCCCTCTCCTTTCCTCTCTCTGAAATCAATAAAAAACATATTTAAACTGTGTCCATAGTTCACTGACCTTTAAGAGGTGGATGTGGGCTGGGCTTAGCGACTGGCTTGTAACTGAGAGAAGGCAGAAGCCAGAGGGCATGCCCTCAGAGATTAGGTCCTACACGGCACCCAGCCCTTCATTGCTCTTTCTGTCCATCTCTGGCCCTTTCTCGCCCCTGGCTTTGGGGGCAGCCAGCTGCCATGGTATGAGGACACCTCAAGCGGCCCTGTGGAGATGCCTATGTGACAAGTGACTGAGGCCTCCTCAAAATGGCCATCCAACTTTGAATTGCCACCTGCTCCTGTAAGCCCCTTACTTCCAACCGAGGGGAGGGGCAGCTGGCCCTGACCCAGCACAAGCCAGGCGCCTGCAGAGCCACAGGTGCGGGGCTGCAGAACACAAGCTTAAAAATTACAGCCGTTCCCATTCACGGCTTCTCTTCTTTTGAGATAATTACCAGCCTTGAACAAGGAGCACTGAGAAAACTATCAGTCTCCAGTTACTGCATGGCAATATTTGCTGCCATTCTATAATGCAGGCCCCTGTAATTATTGCACACACCAGAGCTGCTGAAATCCTCCCCACTCCCTGACACAGGCCCAGCTGGGTTGGCCACCTGGTTTCTGCCCTTAACACGATTCATGCTCCCCTGCCTGGTGGACCTCCCCAAGCTCAGGCATGCTCCCCACAGCTGCCCCATGGGTCTCCTTGTCATCTCCCCACCTGCCAACACAGGTGACCGGTCCAACTTCTAGTCCCTGGATGCCCTCCCTTTCCACTACTATCACTTACTGCCTCCCCGAGGTTCCAGATATCTGCACCACCCTCCTCACAGCCATCCCTCCCCTCTCCACACACCCAACAGGGATCTTTCCTGAAGACAGGTCTACCTTCACCCTCATGTGCTTAGAGCTGTGTGCCCCCACCTGTGTGGCATTTGAGGCCCTCCACACACAACCCTGGCCCTCTGCCCCAAATCAGCCCACTCCTAGAACATTCGTGCCCTTGCACACCCACCAGAGCCCACTGGGTTCGATGTGCTGCCCAGTCTTCAGCCGTGGCTCCGGTGGCCATGCCTCCTGTGCTCACAGTCCCTTTGCACTGGGCAGAGTGTCCACGCCATGGGGGAGCTGAGGTGGGTGAGCACTGGATGGATAACATGGGACAGCCCCAGGCTGGCCCTCGGGCAGGGAGGCTGGGGTGGGACAGAGCATCCCAAACCCTCCATGAGGGCCAAGGAGTTTCTAAGTGTCCTCTTGACCACCCAGGAAGGACAAGGCAGCGGTTATTGATATTAAGGGTCATGTGTCAGCTCATTACAGGGCCCCGAGCTCCAGCCTCCTAACACAAGGCAGCCCACTGGTCACCACTTGGTCTGGGGGTGGGGGCATGGGGGGTTATGCAACAAGGAGCCTCAGGAAGAAGGGAAGGAGACACTGATTTCCCTAACCAGCACCAGCTGTCCAGCTGGGCCAGCATGGCAGCCAGGCTGCTTCCCTTCTGCCTCTTCCGCCCTGTGCCCTTTCTGATCAGACCATCTGGTCCATGGGGTCCTCACTCTGCTGCCTTAGTACAGGCTGCCTAGCACCCCTTCCCTCCAGTCCCCATCCTGCCCCAGGGCTACCTCCCGTCCTCTGTGCTCCCTGACCTCAGGCTACCTGTGGCCCCCACGGCCACCCTTGGCAGGACTTAGCTGGAGCGCCTGGCTCTTCAGAGAGCCTGAGGCCTACCGCCCGGCAGCCCCTGTGCCAGCAGCCAGCCCATCCGTGACAGGCCGCTGCACAGCTCACCTCCAGGAGGAGTGTGTCTGGCAGGTACCGGTCCTTCCAGTGGTCCAGGAAGACCATGTCCAGCGTGTCCACATCATATTTCTTCTTCAGCTGGGGAATGATGTCCTGGGAGGCCCCGATGATAACGGTTACCTAGAACAGAGCTCCGTCAGTGCCAGTGCCATGGGGGTCAGAGACCACCCTGCCTGGACACCCAGGAAGTGTCCACCCATAGTTTCTCTGGGGTTCTGGAGAGACAAGTCTCCACTCTGCCCCCTCCCTCTGGGGAGGTTTCCTGCTCTATGGGACTGGGCAGCAAGAACACCCTCACCGAGCTGCTAGTGTTCTGTGAAAACTGGCCCAGGGGGCTTGGAGGGCCTGGCTGCAGCAGGATAAATGTGGCCTTGAACCACATACCACCCACCCACAAACACCTGGCCCATCT